TCGGTGCAATGTTGTTCGCGTCTATTGATCGAAGCTCACAGAGGCATAGAGTTACAGGCCACTGGCGTCGACCGTCTCTCTCTCCTTGTCTCTCTTCACTATCTCGCCTCTCTCCTCTCTCTCTTTCTCTCTCACCCAGTCTCTCACCCTCATCTACCACAGCTTACCCTTTCCGCTCCATTCTCCTCTCTCTCCCTCCCTCTCCCTCTCTCTCTCTCTCTCTCTCTCTTTCTCTCTCTATTCCTCCGCGATCTGTCTCTTTCTGCGTATTTGGTCCTGAACTATCCGAATTCCATTTCCGTCCAATTACAATTCATCCCCGTTTCAAAGCGGCAGTCACGCCGCGTTCATTTTGCAAGCGCGCTGCCGCCAGGAGCAATCATTTCTTTTCTCTTCATTTCGTCTCCCTTCGTCTCCCTAATCCGGTCACACTTCGTACTTCACTTTCTTCTGGCTGTTCACTGACCAGCAATAATAGATGTTCGTGTTTTAAGCTAGTCATAATGTATAATCTTTATTAAAATATTATTGAAATAACAAATGCTTGAAAGCACTGTGCCACATTTACGATATTAAACGATATTAAAGTTTAATCGACAGTTACAGCAAAATGTAACGTAACGTATAATGCATTTATACATGTTTGTCGATAGATTAATATTATACCAGACAATAAAATACATATGTTACGTTGAACATTGTGGATAATGAGAGAGAGAGAGAGAGAGAGGGGGGGACTTAAAGTTTATATTATTCCTAAAATTGTCCCAAGTATTTAATTTAAATTGGGCGCAGCGCATTTTGTGCACAGACATGAATTCGTGCACCTGTGTGATAAGATGAGAAGCATAACTAAAGTGAAGCGGGCAGTAGAGTGAAGTTTAAGGAGTTTCGGATGCGAGGGCGAGTCCTTGCGAAGAAAGTTCCTCGAGGAGAGAGAAACGGTGAGAAATTAAGCAGATGCTCAGCGTTCAATGCCATAAGAGACAATTTTGCGACATGGATTTTTTTTCAACTTCAGTAACGACATAAGTAACTGGATCTTCATCCTCCATTGCACCTTCGCTCTTCTAGCCAAAGTAAGAACCGGGGGGGGGGGGGAGGGGGAGAGGTCCTCCAATACTTTTGCCGAGCGATGCTTCGGGCGTATCCATCCAGAAGAAAAGCGTTCTTGAGCTACAAGACTCCATTACTCTCATTAGACCCCGTGAAAGTGCCTTTTTTATGCCCCGATAGCTAATCTCTCGGCGATCGATAAGCTTTAAGACGAAACGGTTCAACGGCGTATAAATAAGCGACTATAAATAACGATTAATTTTAACGCGACAACGTCTCTTAATAATACAACCACCAGTGCTCCGTCGACTGATAGATAAAAACTAATGGGAAAAATATTAAAATAAAATCTTATTTCGTTCACTACGCGCCCCATCTCGTAGCTTTTGTACCAATTATAGCTCGTATCTATTTTTTTTTCCGAAAAGCTTTGACTCTGTACGCTTTGTACTCTGTTATTCTGCCATGCGACACAACCGCGATATTTTCTTTTGTATCCGATGTTTGCGAACGACCGATGCTGTTGACGTTTCTTTGATCACTGCGGTTTTCGACAGGCCCTTGACAATTATTGCCTCCGGGCATATCATACCTCGATAATGATTGACTAATGACAGACACCATCGAACCCGAAACTGTTCCCGCTGTAAAATTTATTGAACGAATTTATTGTTAGACCTGCATATTTATTTTTCAATATCTGTACAAACACAATTTCTTTTTTAAACACACGCGTGTTTATTTTTTAAAAATATTTTACAAAATAACTGTAACTAAAGTAACCATGTTATATTGTATTAATCCAATTAGTTTGTGAAAAAAAACAAATATTTGATATAAGAAAATATTAAATTTATAAAAAGTTACGCGAGTGTCTAAAAATTATTACCGACACGAGTTAGAAGGATCATTTTATGCGGCGTCCAATTAATTATCGTACGAGCCGGCCAAGGAGAAAAATAAAACTCGATTGGTCACAGTGATCACGTCACATTTCGTCCTTCGTTTTTCACGTAATACGTAACGCCTCATCGCCTTTAATAACAACTTTTGACGATAATGCACCGGCAAAAACTCCCGTTTCCCCCGTTGTTTTTTTCCCGTTCACAGGTCAATTTATCGAGGACGTATCGTTTCGGCCAATCATCCAATTAAATGCCCACGCGGCCGATTCATTACTCGCGTCTTTGCTGGAAAAAGAGGCGAGCGGAGAGCGGCGCTGATGGGCCGCCCACGTGTACCCGGACGATGCGTTGCCCGGATGATGATGCGCCGGGCAGATTATTGACGATGAAGTATCGCGCGGCACTGTCAACCAAACCGGTGAATTATCGGCGAGCTCTCGCCTCTCAGGCCGCGAACCGAGGTACAATCATCGGTCCCCTCGCCATCGGCGGCACAAACGGGTGTTCCGCGATATTCCTATAACGCGCTCCGTATTGTACACGCGTCGCGGCTTGGTCGCAGCACCCGCGCTCGCCCTTCGGTGGGATCGCCATCGGCGAATGCGCGGTTACCGATCGGCGTGTCGACGCGTCGCCCAACACGACCGGCAATTAAGAGATTTGAATCGTCGTTTCGTAATCGCCGGCTTTGACGATACCGGATGGCACCACCGATTGGCCTCCTAATGCGTACACTGAAGGGTTTGACGACCGCGAGAACGAGGCGGCGACCCGTGGTTGATGCCTTTTGAGATCTCGAGCGCGATAAGCGATCGTTACACGATTGTTTCGTTAGCGAGTCTCGCATGATTTAGCGAGTCTGAGTTAGAGCAAAGATTTAAAGAGACTACTTGGAATAAAGTGACGTTCTATAAAATTACACGCGCATAAAAGAATTAAGATATCAGAGTACACTTGTGCTTTGTTTGATGTATGTTCAAATTTTATATATTGCGTGTATCATTTTTAGCTGCGCCAACGATTCTTAAAAATATTATGGCAGTACAATGTTACGTTCCCAATATATAAGTCTATGATCTATTGCACGTACCTTTCCATCGATGGTCTGACGAGTAGATTTTGGTTGACTGCGATGTTGAACTGCAAAATCTGTCAACAAAAATGATAATAAAATTAGTAAAATCGACAGTAATATCTAACATAAAATTTTGTGAAATATAACATTATGTACATTTCAATTTATCTCCTACAGACAAACGCATAAAATCTGCTAAGAATGTTGCAGACAGACGCAGTGCTGATATTAAAAAAAAAGAGATAAATGCATCCGATTAAATGTTTAGAATATATTTATTTTCAACTTTTTGTTTTTTTTACCACTAGGTCCTTACTTTAAGTGTTCTCTTTAAGCAATCTAGAGATTATAGGCATGTGATAAATCGATGTAGCTCCGTCCTCGGTTCTCACGGATGCGGTTGCCAAAAGCGGGAGACATTAAAATTGAATTCAAATAAAGCTTCTCACGGTACACTTGCACGTGCAGCGATTTAAATATTTATACGACTCTCCAAACTGCTGTCATAGATTTTGTGATAAAACAGTGGGAACACGAGCGTGTATTTTTCGAATATTTCAAAAAAATTTCACGCTGCCGTATTAAAATAGACTTACAACTCAGTGCCCGACACCATTGAAAATTCAATTAAATATTGCTATGTATTACGCGTTAGCGGAATAAAGTCGTACAAAGCTAATGTATCATCTGTTCTCTTTCTCCCTTTCTGCACTGATAGAAAAAAATGGTTGCGGTTACCACAATCTCACTATAATTTATAGTCATTTTAGGAGCCAACCACATTTTTATAATTCTTCCAACTACGTAAGTTATAGTTGACCTAACAATGTATTATAGTTCTCATAGACACAATATCGGCCCATGCAACTTATCATATGGTTGTCATAATGCACCAAACGAGCTTTTAATTTGGTAAGGTATACTATAAATGTCGCAATAACAACCACAAGTAAAATTTCAAATAACTATATGTAATAGTAACTAAAAAAATAGTACAAGAAAGCATGTTTCAAAGAAAAGATAAGTAATCTCACACGAATATATATTTGTAACACCCTATGCGGTTTTCTTCTTACGAGAAAGTCTTATACCCCGAGTTCCTCTAGTGAGGACATTCCGGACCACTTCACTTTTGTTCACCATGTGATTAGTAAGGTGGATGATAGAAATGTAGTTAAATGTACTATAATTGTGATTGTATTTACTATATAAAAATAATTAATTAATTTACTATTTATTACCTGGATCTTTTAATAGAATAAGAGTTAAAAGCTTATATTTTATAGTAAATTTTTTAAATAGCTGGCATCGCTGTGTCCATATGGTTTCTATTACTAATATTATAGTAATAATTACTAAAAAAATGATATTCCTGACTATAATTATTTTACTATGCAACTATAGTTTCAAGTACTACATATTTTTCTGTCAGCGTGGTAGGATTCTCCCCGGTATTTTTCCTATCCGCGGAAAACGATACTTAAAAAAATTACAACTGGGTTGGAAAAGAGCGCTATTTGTTCCAGCTTGGCACAAAGTGTCTTTGTATATTGAATGTGAAAGGTGTACTAAGGGATCGTAAACAGGACGAATGTGACGTCTGGCATTTACGGGCGGATCGAGAGCTGAGCGCGTACATTTTCGACACTGTCACGAGCCATCCTGATCTATCGAAATCATTAGCGTGAGTAATAATCCATATCCAAGAGGTAGCATTTCCTCCTACACGCTTATTTGTACTAACAATTGAACCGGCCAATCGTACCTTTTCTCGCGCGTATATGCGCATCAATAACAATCAGGGACTTAACTGGCCGCGTCGGGACGCGCTCAGGGGCACTTTTTGCCCGAGCAATCTTACGGGCACCGATCTATCTATCTCCTCTCGCCTATCTACCCATTCGTTCGTCGCGGCGATCCGGAGGCGCGTATAAAAGGACCGTGGTGGAACGCGATACGAAGCAGTGTAGCACGACGTATGTCCGGTCTCGCGCCGACATCCTCTCGAGCGATCGATCTCGCGTAACGCGTTACGTACGTGTAGGACCGTTCCCTCTCGAGCAGCACACGTGAGATCACCCGTTCTCGGTCCGCTGGCAACCGCTATAAAAGATGTCGCAGTCGGAACAGGGCGGCAGTGCGCAGTGCGAGAAAGACATGTCCACGTCCAAGAGTAGCTCGATGTTGCGCCTGAATCAGGAGGGCCGACGCGGCTCCGCCGACTGGCACGACACCGACTCGGAGGTCAGCGAGAACGACTTCCTCACTAAGGGCGCCTTCCTCCTCACCCCCAGCCACGAGCTGAGCATGGAGAAGGCCGCCACCATCTGCGAGAAGATGAACTTCCGGTGAGCGCATCACTTCGGCGGGCCACCTCGTCGCCTTGGGACGAGGATTATTTCCCGGATCCCCCGAACCGTTCGATGAAAGAGACGTTAAACCGGACGTTGTACCCCGATAACTATGACAAACGAGCTCCAAGTGTCGTCGATTTTCTTCGTTGCTTTATCGTGCGCCTCGTACTCGCTGCCTTGTGCCCGACAACTTTATCATTGTCGCCAAAAAATTTAACTCGTAAGACTTGAAAACCGTAAACATTGTAATTTGACTAAATCCTTGATTGATAATCATTCTTTAGATTAATTGATCAAGACGCGATAAGTCATCAGATAATTTGGTTTCATCGTAAGAACTTCCTTTGTTTGTAAAACGAGTGCAATTATTCGAGCGACGATACAAAGTAGGTCAAAAAACAAAAGGGTTTATAAACAGGTGTGTTTATAAAAATTAATTACTTTACATCATTGTTTAACGTTAAAGTCTGGTTGTTGCGGATTGTTTGCTCGCTGAAGTTCGTTTGTAGAAGTTACATTATAAAATTTTACGGGACGCGCCAAGGTTTTTGTACACGAAGCCAGACTTATATCCAATTCTTATTTTTACTGATTTGTGGCATTAGCATCGAACGTGCATCGTCTAGATTACTTCGGCCTTCACTTAGTTTAATCCGCAAGAGATCCTAAAGTACTTCGGGCCCGAATCGGATCTAAAAGTAGTTAAGTCAGTTGGCGCGTAACGCGAAGTAGTAGAGGCCGTAACAGGTCGGACAACAAATCCATTAAACCAACTGCGCCTGATGCCGCGTGTGAACGGTTTTTTGATCCGCAATGAGTCGATGTGCATGACGGTGGCAAAAATTCATTCGCACCCGGCGAATTACACGGACCGAACTAACTCTTACCCGTTGCATTATTCCGTCACGTAAATACGGAAGATTTTTACAGACTTTCGCGTCAAAACGTTTCCCTTATTAATTTACATGGTAATCAACACTTTCCATTGTGCGATCTAGAGGCGCATTTTCTTTGACGAAGACCGCCACCGGCATTCTCTTCAAGTTCAGCAACATCGAGGACTTTCAAGCGGTGTATAAAAAAGGCTTTCACAAAGTGACGGGCGCCCGTTTCTACAAAAAGGTAGGTGCTCCGTACCGATGTACTCTCGCGGCCTAATTAGCCCTGCATTTGTGGAAATATGCTTCGTCTTACCGATAAACAACGGTCGGCAAAGTTACTCCGTCGCAAATAATTTCGCGTACATTAGCGTTTTTATACTTTACATCCGGGGAGGGTGTTGCATTATGTTGTACTTGGGAAACCTTACCAAAGCTAAAGCACCTGACAGAGAAATACCTTATAGCGCTTCCGCAACTAATCTCGGGATCTGCATGGGATTCTACGCTCTCGTGGCACAAACACATGTTGCAGATATCCCACAACGTATAAAGGGTGCTTTAGGACACAAATATTTTGATAGTAATTTAACGCGAGCGACTTAGTATTTCATTGTCGCGTTAATTTAAAGCCAATTGTAGAAATATTCGCATCATTCTTGATACATCGAACTTGTTCTCCTGAGATGATAATTTTGCAATTCTTGTTTTCGGATCGTTCCCCGAGAATGAACTTGGCGAATGTGCATTATAACTCGTACTATACAGGTCGCTATACCGTGTAGACCGGCGAAGATCTTCACGGTCTACGTTCTAGATGTGCCCGAAGAACTGCCGGAGGACGATATTAGACACGCTCTCTACAAATATCGATCTATCGTCGAAGTAACCAGACTACCTCTGAATACGGGAACTGTTTGTGAGTCACGAAAATGCAAATGCTTCTTCTCCATATTTCTCATACCGTCGCTCTTTCCGGGGGAAAGCTTCAGACCCTATGCGCGTAACGTGATGGATACTGCTTCTCCCTTTACGATTCCAAAAATCCTTTCGCTGTGTATTTATATATTTACATCTTGCGTATATAACTTGAGACGCAATTTCAGTAAGAAAAAAAAAATAAAGAAACTTATTTTCGCGAAACAACAGTCCGACATATCCGTGTTATTCGGTGTCTCGAGCAATTGCATCTCATTCTGCCCAATAGGTTAACAATAAATTTTGCAATAAACTTGGTATCACGCACATTCGCGTTTCGTACGCCCGCGTATTTAAAGAGCGCTATCACTTGGCCGTGACGCGCAACGCGTCGAGCTTTCTGCCGTTCTGCAACGCATGCAATAAAATCGTGTGTTAAATAAATCAGTGAAGGCCATCAATGACAAGCTAAAGAGCGACGCGCAGAATCTGAACGAGCCGGCGACGATTTATACGGGGCCACCCGTTATAAGGGTTACCCTGGCCAGCGTGGAGGAGACCTCGATGCTGCTGAGCCGTGGTTTGGATTTTTATGGGGCCACATATTTCCCCACCGAAACGCCCCATCCAGCCGCTCAACCCCTCGCAAAATACAAAAACAACAGGTGGGAAGTGAATTCGCTCGTGCATGCTCGCCCGCGCGACGCGAGCTCCCCCGCGTGATTCATTGAACGACAAATTCGCGTGGCCGCGTGTTAAAAATTACGCGCGACCCCGATATCGTCCCGGCCGATATTTATTGTCCGATATTTATTAACTATCATTGCGTCGAAATTGCGCTGGGCAATTCGGTGTAATCGTGGTTGTTTAAATGTCCGTTACTTCCGGCATTGTAGAGAACCGCCGTTGTTAATTCGCTCGTTGCGATCGAATGCATCAGAAATGACTTTGTGATGAAATAACTTTTCGTACGAGGGATGAGTAAGCTGTTGAATGTCATCGATATTCTTCGTTTGTTCAAATTACGCTTTAGGTTTTACCTCGATGCTCAGCTATGATTTTTTCAGTGCCGAGGGGGAAACCGCTGACCAAAATCTTGTACACCAATGCCCATTAATGCCCAGTGGGCATTACTTTATCTTATTATCTTATTTTGCCTTTATAATGCCCCAGCAAGACCTAATGCTCAAACTAATGCCCAAAAAATGCCCAGTAATGCCGCAAATCTGTACACCACAATGCCCTCAGCGGTTTCCCCTTCGGTGCGAATAATCTGCCGATGTTGCAAAATATCAAATTCAAGAAAACGAAGTAATTGCTATTAGCCTAAAATGCAATCTTTTCTATAAAAAAAAGGGGGGAAAGAAAGAAAAGTAATGATAGCGCCATTACGCGATCCGCTCTTCTACTTCACCGTAATATCTTTAATGGAACATTGCCAATAAAATACAAAAGGTTTGCGGGCATTAGGCGGGAAACGGCTCTTTTCAGGCAAAAAAAAGGAGAGGAGAAGAGAGAGCCCCTTTCACGTGTTTCGCCATTGCAGATGGATCGAGTTGGCGTCGATCGGCACGGGACAAAGAGTGAGGGACCTACTTCCGGTCTTTGACAACGCGGGCTTCAACAAATTGCCACCTCCGGCGAGCCGTGTAATAAAACCGCAAAGAAACTGACACGTCCCCCGTCCGGCACCCCGAATTCTTCGGCCGCCGCCATCGCCGCGATCGATAACGGCGACGAATCGAGGGAGGACGCCACCGCGAGGACGACGTTACGACCCGACGACGACGACGCTAATGCAGACGACTACCTCGATCGAAATTCGGGCAGCGGCGCGAGGATCCGCTTCGTGCGATTTCGGCGCGACTCTAATTCTCCGTCGATCGCGACGTATGAAGGAACGAGGCTTGCCGCCGTACGTATACGAGATAACGCACAAGAGAGGCAAAATATAGAGGAGGCTCGCGCGTATTTCGAATCGAGTGGACAACCGAATCAAAAGACACACGCCTAGAGTGTAGGGGAAGTCCAGGTTCAAACCCTGGCTGAGGTAATATTTTTCGCAATCAATTTTCTGTATTATTAAAAATGCCAGATATACGGTCAAGAAAACACTGATTGCGAATTAAAAGAATCCACGGAGGGACTTGACACCGTTTCGTTCTTTCAAACAGAATGACTCGGTTATTTCATCTCTGCGGGGAGCAGACGTGTGGGTGTGCGCGCGAAGACTAGATTCACACTTTCCTCAATGTAGAATACAGCTGAACGGTATGCCGCTAATGTTAATTTTACCTGATAAAAGCGAGGCGTGGAAACTCGTGAGATTGCACACGGTGAGACTCGTCCCTCCGAGCGGGCGGTGATACGGCGCGTCGGACAGTTGAGCACGTAGTAATACGTCAGCGTGTGTCGCACGCTGCCTCGCCCTGTCGTTCCGTTACTCGTGGGAAGGATATTGTTTATATCACTCGCGCCGACTCGCATAAAAACATTACGCGCGTAGTTATTTCAACGCGTCACACCGACATTGGCTCCGGCTCGATCGAGGGTGGACGTTCACCAACTTATACCTCCGCCAATGAGTACTGAACAATTTTATTTCCGCGTGTGTGCGAACCGAACTTTCTGAGAGACTCTCCGCACAATATCGCGGATAACTGAGTTATCGCGTGTACATTAAAAGCGAATAACTTTGACTTATTTTACGCGAACGAAGAGGAGAGAGATGGCATCTTTCTGACATCGCAAATTCTTCCTTCGGATACACATTGTCTGACGATGTCACGTACTTTTTTTTTCGGATTTATTACGGATTTAATAAGTGCGTGAGCAAATTCTCCCTCTAGTTGCACATAATACGGAGGGAAGAGACTATCCGTCGAAAGATTAATTCTGCTTGTTCCCCCGTATTATACACACGAAATCCGGTTAAAACGTAAGTCCAGCCATATATCTTTCAGATGCATATGCGACCGATGGAGGGTCAAGCGTAATGTGCAGAGGGAAACTGCATTATACGCTCGTGACTCGGTAGAGCCATTTCCTCGACACGCACACGCACCGTAAGATACACCGTGCCGGTTCGCAGGTCGACGTGATTTCTAATCCCGTCTCCCTCGCATGTAGCGAAGGTTCCTATTTTTCCGTTGGTGGAAAGGTCAGCGCCGCGATATCAAACCGCAATATATATATATATGAAATTACCGTTCCTATCAGTCGCCTACTTTTGCGCCAGTCACGCGACTAACATTATCTTAAAACGCATTAAGTCGATCACGCGCCAGAAATTAATCCGCCGGTGCGCTGATAACCGGGATTTCACGGAGCAAAGTAATCGAATATGTGAAATTATACACTCCAGCTCTCTCCCGTGTAAGCATTTGAATGTTACTCCGTTTATTGATGTCTCATCGCGTGAAAAAACTTTCGTGAGAATTGACCGAAATTCAAAATTCATTAAATAACTTGTTTCAAAAAGAAACAATGTATTTCGTTTTTATTGCACCGGTGGATTTCTAAATGTGGAAATTAGTTAGACGCGAAGCTTTTTTTGATCGCATAAATGACTACGTTGCGAGTACAAATAATTGTAAACGAAATTTTACGAAGATACTTTTACGTACAAGACCTAATTCTTGCTAGAAGATTGCAGATTTACTAATAATAATACAAATATGTTTAAGTATAGTTAATATATTTTTCTAATAATATAGTAACGACTCGATTTTATAGTATTTAGAGATTTAAAAGCTAGTATTTACGTTTATTAATAATAATAATGTAACTATTAAAACAAGCAGACATTAGTGATATCTTTGAGTTACGATATAAATCTTCAAACTCCTAAGTGTTAAATATTTTGAAGAAAGACAGTGTATATGCGTTAGATTAGGCAGTTAAAAATAAACACGTGCTAAAAAAAATCAGTCATCTCATAACATTTTCATTATAATATCTAACGTGGCGTATTATATAAAAACTCTCTTAGTAATATTTTTTAAACAGTAGAGGTGCGGCCGACAAATATCCAGCGTTGCATTAAGGAAATGAAATATTCATAAATGGGGCCTGATAGACTTCATCGTTTAATTTATGCAAAAGAATGTAAGTAATTAGGGGATAACAGGATTTGACGCGGGGGAAAAGCTGAGCGAACGGGGGGAACGAATTGGGCGGGACAACGGGTTTTCTCTTCTTCTGTGTTCGACTGAATCGCGAATAATCACCGGCACTGCACATTCGCATAAACGTTTCGCTACGTCGCGGCCACGCCGGCAACTTTTTATTACGGAGCGGCGATTCGATAATAACGATGAAATTTACTTTGTACACGTACAACGTGTACGCGCTTATTAGGATATTGTATATTATGCCATCCGTTACGTAACCCGTAATATTCCCGTTATATAAACGTCCCGTTGCAATTACGTAATGTCCATACGGATGGGACGTACACTTGATGGCGGATCGCGATATACGTAGAGCCTTGCCGCTCGCATGAAAGTCGTATAACGACGTTATTACCTCCTTGTTAAAAGGATTACGATCCGCGCCGATGTGTCGCGTACTTATCACTTTGCGGTGCATTTATTTTAAATTTTCTTGCTTTATACTCGCGCACGTAAGTGGCGCGTGATTTAGACGAACGTAACGAGAATTTCAAAAAATAAAATTTCTCTCTCCCTCACGTAATTTATAATTCAACGTTCCCGAAGAATTATGCTTTCCAGCTTTCGCATGTGAAACAATCGCGCAGAGATTCTTGTCCCGGGTATCATTTCCCGTGAAATATAATTGTCGAGCAAATACCCCGAGAATGAAAGAGGAGAGAGAGGATTACCGCGCTAAATGCCGCGCGTTTATTTCTGATTATTTTCATCGCCGACGGGGGCAAGAGTGACGCTGCTTTTAACAAGGCGAGACTTTATCAGGAAAAGAGCTCGTGGAAAGAGAGAAACTTGGCCGCGATGAGTGGTGGTCACAGGAGGGTATAAGTAATTCTCCGAGAATGCTATTACGTCCTGCTGCGCCTTCGCTCGGGGGACGAGGGCTATTTCAACGCGTAATATGAGAGAGGGTGGATATGGGAGGTGGTAAATGTCAGCTATGTATGAAAGAGAGTGCCGCCATAGAGCGAACGTGGCGCGGACAGAGCCGGGTTATCCGCCATGGCGGAATGGGGGACCGGGGGTTATCCATGGCCGTGGCAGGAAACTCGAGGGACCGGCGATAAATTGTACGTCTTCTGAAAAAATCTCAGGTAACTTAAAATATCGTACGTTTTTTGTCCTAAACATATGAGGGGGAAAATGCCACCGCAGCCACGTTGTCGCACGTTCGCTGTTCGCGAATTAGAAATTAAAGAACGGACGATGTTCCGTCAACAATGTCTTTGAAATGTTTTCAGGCAATTTAGCGAGCCACAGCAATGCGTTTAGCTGTGCCAATGTAATTAGGGGGAATATTTACGATTACGACACATATATCAGAAGTTTAATGAAGTAAAATAAATAATACACTTTAATTAAATTTTATGAAATAATTTTATGGCGTGTCAGTTAAACGCGGTTGTATTCTTGTTATTTAAATGTTTTATAAACTCAACGAAAATTTCACTGCATAAAATTAAAACGTTATACGCGTGTGGATAAATATTTACTTTATCGTTAAAAATATTATAAAACAAATCCAGCGAGAAGAGAGAGAATTGCGGCAACACCTTGCTCTCTAAAGTGTGAAAAATACGCGGGACAGCAACTGCCACCAATTTAGCGGCTCCAATTTTGATGCAACGTGGATTTTTAGGACAAGTTAAAGTGAGAAACCTAGTTTTGTTAATGGCCGTAACTTTATTTTAGAGGACGAAGCCCGAGCGGGCAAGCTTCGCTCACCAACAAGTGCCATTATCACCGCCTCTCGACTCCGTAACCATAGACTAATTTCGCTTAAAGAGCCCGCCGGACAGTTAACCGGTTTTTTTTAGTCTGCGTCTCCGCAAATTTCAATTTTACGTGCAAAGAAATTTCCGAAAGTTAAGCGCGAACGTGTAATTACGTTTCCCCTTTGGCGGCTATAAAGAGATACGCGACCGCGCAACTGTCAAAACTTTTACCAGACAATTATATTAAAAAATATTCGGCACGTCAGTTTGAAGAACAAAAATCAAATTTGCCAAGTTGAAATTTTTACGTTGGCCAATTACGTGTCGATTATTTAATCCCGGGATTATTCCCCGGCGTGAATACAAACTGTAACGGTGAGACAAGAAAAGGTAAAACAAGGACGATTGAGGCGGAAAGGCAGTAAACTCGGTCGAGTCGAAATCACTGTTTAAGCGGCTCGTTCGCCGGAAAGCGTGTCGAATCGATTAAAAATGTATGTGGAACGTGTGCTAAGCAGCGGATATTCGAGGAAAGGCCTCGAGGGATCAGTCCCAATGGTGCGAGAGACGGCCGTCCGATCTACGCCTATCAAGCAAGCGAGGGGAAACGAGAATCGATGGAGGATCGAAGGGGAGCTGCCAAGCAAGCTCGAATATTACAGGCAACCAGCGGACAGAAGAAAGAGCGAGAGAGAGAGAGAGGGCGGAACGCCTGGTAAGCATCTCTGAAGGACCATTTCCTCGAAGCTTGCGTTCCTAATCGCATCGGAGTCATCTATATTATTACGAGGCTCCTGCGCATAACCCTCTGAGCGCGCTATACGCGGATGCAAAGGTCCCAACCTACAACCGACTTGGTTCCCCTCTCCTCGTGTCCTTACTCCGACTATACCCTCCTTCGCCCTTATTACCCGCGGCAAAACTCTCCCCTCTCGTTCTATGCCCCGTTTCGATCCTTGTCGTTCCGCGGGGTCGCGCACGTGCGCCTGCAGGAGACTGCGGAAATTGTCAGCTGTAGTTCTCAAAGTAGTCTCACCCGACGATGATCGATTTTCAGCCGATACCGTAAAACGTATCTGTTGAAGTAAGTGCCCTAGCTCGGGAAGATCGTTTTCCTGCCTCCTCTAAAGGCCCGTGTCCACGATGACATGGTCCAAGTTGCAGTTTCGAGGAATGTCTAGCCAATCAACTTGCAGCTATTCCATAAAACCTGCAAGTTGATTGGCTACACATTTCTTGGCACTGGAACTTGGGCCAAGTTCTAGCATCGTGGACACAGGCGTTAGCAGACCGCTACAGCGCTAATCTGTTACGCGACGTCAACATTCAATATGTGCAATAATGTTATACTAAACTATTTACTTTTTATGGAGATTTTCGCGCAAATCTAAAAAGCATGCAAAAAAACATTTATTTAGTTAGCACGGCGGGGATTATTTTCGCGTTGATTAAATTAAACTGTAGCACACACACGTACGTTTATAGCGAAAATAACGGGATTAAAAGAGAGAAAGGACGAGCAGATTTTCCGCGTCAACGTCAGACAATAATCGATACGCTCGTTGTCTACCGGATAGTCGCACCTGTGTTTTTATTACATTGTAGTTCGCGCCGAGTTTAATTAGAGACTCCGCGGGTGGTAACCAAGCAATCTATCTGTAATGTCCCGCGGCGTCAACTCTCGTTTTCTTTCCATCGGTCGACTAATTAAATAAATATAGGACACGCAATGCACGCGCGGCATAGCGTTCTCCGATCGATATCGAGTTTTATGGCAAGCTCGCCTGATGCGCGCACATACTGAAACCGCTGTTAACACAAATCAAAAACCCGTCGAGAAATAAGAGACGTAGTAGCACGGAGGGAAGGAAACGCGAAGCGTGTTTAATTAGGAATGTTTGTTCTGTAATCAAGAATAATGTAAAGAAAGCAAGCTGTTAAGTTTATTTCTTAATAGTATCTGCGTGACGAAGAAAGTTTCAACAAATTCGTGTAAATTGGCTTAAATTTCGACTTTTGGGAACTCTGTTCTCGTTTTCGCGGCGTTTCATTATATTTAAAAAATTACCGTCTTTTATAAAATCAAAATAGTATTTCTCGAAATTATTACCGTCCATTTTAACCCCAAGTATTACGTCCAGAAAAACAATATAGAATGTATTTTCTCTCGATTTACTAGTCGCCTACTTGAAATCTGTTAATACCATAAACTGTCCGATAAATTTTTAAGCACGTACTCTCACCTTATTCTGCCTCATTGGCTTCTCGACTCGCGGGAGACTGTTATTATACTCAACTTTCGAGGCGCATCGTCACGATTCCGCCAGGGTAAATAAGCGCAAAGAAGCTGGGAAAGAGCGGGAAACGCGTGGGGGACCAGGGAAGAAAAAAGTGGGATTAGACGAAGGGTCGCGCGGAGAAGTAAGGCGAGCGGAAAAACAAGGACAAGGAAAAGCGCAAGGAAGGCGGCGCGGGAGAAGGCAGGAGGAAGAGGAAGGAGGTCAGGGAGAGCGTCCCCGGGATGAATATTAAAATGTAAAGTTCCCAGCAAATTAATCGCGTTAACGTCAGAGCATTTTCTCGCGTCCATCCTCTATCTCTCCTCCTCCATGCATCCTCCTTCTTCCAGCTTCCTTCCTCGCTGACCATTCTATTTTTCCCTCCCTTTCCCTCTCTCTCTCTCTCTCTCTCTCGCTCTTCTCGTCTCGCGCCAACCAATGCAGAGTCCAACTCTGCGCTCCGTTGCTCCTGAATATTCATTAATCCCGCTTTCCTCCGTCGTCCGTCGGAAATGCGCGTCTTGGGCGAAATATAAAAAGAAGAGTAAATCTCCTTCGTGCCGGTCGTCACCTCCGTCGGCACCGTCGGCGTCTTCGCCAGCGCCGCGACGCCGCCCGTGCGAAACGGACGCTCCTCGCGTGCACGA